CCATCGAGAAAAGCAGTACATTATAAATGAAGCCAGAATGTTGTTCCAGAAAAGCAAAAAATCCTATGGATTCAGAACTAATTAAATTATGTATAGATGAATGCACAGCAAGAATTGAAATAGGATTGCATTATCAGATTCCATATCCAAGGCCAATTCACCTGCCTCCAATGGCCCTCACTCCCTTACATAGTTGTGGACTTCAAACCCAGAAGCTAAGAAAGTTTTCCAAACCATTATATCTCAAGTCTCACAATGAAGTTTCTTAATCCAAAAAATAGGTTCTCTGCGTGAATGGTGAGCCAGGCAGGGCCTGAGTACAAACTAGATGATGAATCTTTTCTACTTAAGTCAAGTCAAATAAAGGAAGGACAAAGGGGTAAAAAAAAGTATTCTAGACCACAGTAGCATAGGTATGGAGTTAGAAGGGGAGAACTTCAAGGTGACCCAGACCAACATTTTATGGTGGAAGAAACCAACCATAAAATAACTCCAGAGTCTCAAAAGGACTAGATCATAATGGAAAAGGAAGAATCCAAAATAACTCCAAGATTCTAGACTTTAAGTGGAATTGGTGCTATCAAACAGAAATAAAGAAGTTGGAGTTGGGAGTTGGGATGAATTTTTCAATGGAAAAGGATGAGTTCAGCTTTGAATGTGTTGAATTTGACATAACAGTAGGCCCTCTGTGAGTGTTTCCATAGGGCTTTCTGAAAAAATAAGCAAATGCAGTTTATAAATGCATATTTAACCGTCATTGATTTATATTATAATTTCAATTGGAACTAAACTTGCCAACTTCTTATTGTACAAATTAAAGATTGAGAAATGACCTGAGTCTATTTCCAGAAAACATCAACACTTTTAAAGAGATGATCTAAAAAGAAGCAGGAGTATCATCAGGGAATAGATGCCAATGGGACCAAGAATCAACATTATATATATATATATATATATATATATATATATATAATATTATATATATATATATATATATATATATATATTTCCTACAGTAGTTACTAGGCCTGAAGAATTAAAGAGAATACTTGGGAGCAGACAGTTTTCTAGCCACAGGTATAGTGGACGCCACCAGGTTTTCACTGGTTTCTTTATTGCCTTGATATACGTACCTTAAAAATAGCTTTAACTTATGGAATAAAACAAGCATTTCCATAATATAGTACAATAAAAAATGATCATACATGAAACTGCAAATCTACTATGCACAACCTGATATTCCTTTCAAATATATAATATTGCTATTGCTATATACAGTGTTCTTTTGGTTCTTTTCATTTCACTCTTCATTTATTTCATGCAAGTTTTTCCATACTTTTCTAAGATCATTGAGCTCATCATTTCTTATACCATAGTAGCATTCCAATCATATACCATAACTTATTCAGCCATACACCAATTAATGTGCATGCCTGCAATTAAATGTTCTTTGTCACAACAAAGACAGCTGCTATAAACATTTTAGAACATAGAGATTCTTTTCCATTTTCCCTACTCAGACTTAGGGGTGGCATTGCGTAGTCAAAGGCAGATTAATAATTCTTTGGTCACAATTACAGATTGTTCTCCAAAATGATTGGGTCAATTCACAATTCCATCAATAGTGAATCAGTGGCCCAGTTATTCCACATGCCCTCCAACATATTTTGCTTTTCCCTTCATTTGTTTTACCCAATCTGGTAGGTGTAAAATGATATATCAAGATTGTCTTAATTTGCTTTTCTCTAATCAATAATGATTTAGAATATTTTTTCATATGGCTATAAATTGTTTTGATTTTTTTTTCCATTGGAAAACTGCCTGTTCATATCCTTTGACCATTTATCAATTGGCAAATGACTAGTATTCATATAAATTTAACAAAATTTTGCATATATTTTTGATATGTTCTTCATCTATTCTTGCTAAACATACTTTTTGCCTCTATTTGTCCTTATTTTCAAAAAGGAACAGATAACAATTATATCAGACAGTATTTCATATCAAAAAGGAATAGTTAATGAATGTTGCAACAGAGTATAGCAATTCTTGAAGAATTTTAATTTTTTCACTGTAAAGGAAAATTATAGAATATTTGAGTGTCAACTTCCAAAATTATGGCTAGGCCACTATATTTGAATCCACATTCTGCCACTTACTCCTTATGTAACTTTACGCAAGTTACTTCACCTCTCTTACCCCCAAAGGTTCTCATCTATAAAATAAAAGGGATTATAACAGATTACAACAATCTTTCTAACTCTATGCCAATTATCCTTCAAAGATTTGTTGGTAAGCCCTATACAGAAAGGGATGAGGATGGTGATAGAGATGGGCACAGGGATTGGGACAAGGATGCATACAGAGGTTGGGAACTGGGAAAGGAATATGGATAGGTACAAGATGATGGATAGGGATATAGATAGGATCTGGGATTATATTGTTATTCAGATCTCCTAGGTAAGAAATTCCCTCTATTAAAGCGAATCTATGCCATCTCTGTAGCTTATAGCCATAGAGATTTGCCTAGACCACAGAGATGCTATGTGCTTTCAGCGGGATCATGCCACCAGATCAGAATCAAGATTCTAACTCCAGTCTTCCTGACATTGAAGGTGGCTCTCTAGCAATAATGACATACCCCCTATTGCTCAGTGATATGATTTGAAATTCCAAGGCCACAAACAGAAGTGCTTGATCCAGAACAAGGAATTGTGTGCTTCATTTTCTTAGTTCCTTCCAGCCTCCACTGCTGGGAGCCCCGTTGCCAGCAGTCCATAGTGAAGGCAGTACTTGATTTACTGACCCATGCATGGCATTAGCATTTTTTTCCTATTTCTATAGTCCCATTATTGGCCTATGGCAATATTCACTGTGGTAATGACTTGGAGATACACAGAATCCTGTGATTTATGATGCTGCTGATCAGAAGTGAAATGGGCATGAGAGAGAAATTTGCCTATCTTCTTCATTTTACAGATGAATAAAGACAGGTAGGTTAACCTTATAAAAAGCAAAGATTTGAACCTGTGCTTTCTGGTCACCATGTCAATGCTATTCTCCCCATCCCATGCTGGAAGCCAGAGTTGCTGCCATCAGGGCAATCATAGACAATTTAGAAGCAGAAATGTTCTGGTCAAGAATGTGACTGATATTGTGCTGTGTTGTTTGCTGTGACATGCCTTAGGAATGAGGGTGCAATTTAAATCTAGACTGGAAATGGTATTTGTTTTATTCTCTATGGTAGAGTGGAACAGAGAATACCCTGGTTTTGGCATCAAGGACCAGGATTGGAATCCTAGCTGTACTTTTTCTCTTTCAACATGGGAAAGTCATTTACCTTTTATGGGATTTAATTTCCTTATCTGTAAAATTATGACATTGACTAGATGTCTAAGGAGACTGATAGCTATAAATATGTGATTTTATCAGGTATGAAACTGACAAGAACATTGAGAAGCCATCTTTTTTATTCAAGTTCTATGTAGGCACTGGAGACTTCGTTTTACCCAAGATGAAAAGGCACTAGGTAAGAAAAATAAATGCTTTCATTTCATGTGACAGATGTCTTGTCTGCACATAAATATTTCCCAAGCCACACTTTTTTTTAAAATACGCTTTTATTAACACAATGTTTTTAAATTCCCTAAATTTATTGAGCTCTCCAAAATAACAAAGATTTTTTTGAGAAAAAAAAGAAAAAACAAAGTCAGTAAAAAACAATCAGTACATTAAAAAAGTCTGAAAATTCATGACACGTTCCACATCCATGGACTTCCCACTTCCAAAAAGCAGTGGAAAGGAATGTTCTCTTCTTTGTTCATTTTCGCATTTCTTCTTTAGCATCAAGCATATTCATTGCAATTTTGTAACCTTTTTTATTGTTATCATGGTGGTTGTGCTTTTCAATTACATTGCTGTAGTCACTGGGTATGTCATTTTCTTGCCTATGTTCACTTGATGTTGCATCTGCCCATGAATATCTTTCTGTACTTCTCTGTATTCATCCTTAGCCATTTTTATGATGTATTTAGATCTTTACTAGCCTACCCAGTCTGAAAACACGTATTTTTACTACAGCAAGAAATAACGGAATAACAATTTTTTGCAAAATAATTAAAAACATGCCAGGATAGAGTAATAGTATGTAAGATATTAAAAGTTCAAGCAAAAAAGTATTATCAATCATAAAAACATTATTAGTAATAATAAAGTCATTGTAGTTAAAGATTAGAGAGATGACCTGTCTCTGAAACCTAAAGTCTATATGACCCTGCACAAGTCACTTGACTTCTGAATAAACTGGAAATTGTCTAAGAATAGGAGGTGTATGTCAGGGGTCAAACTTTGTTGGTAGGTGGAAGTTACCTGCACACATGTGTGTGCGCACGTGCACATACACACACACACACACACACACACACACACGCACACTGCTAATGTCTGCACTTTGGGATTATAACTCATTTACGCTTCATCATCTTTGTACATACGTTCATATATTGTCTCTTCCTTTAGAATGTGAACTCTTTGAGCCTAGAATCCCAAGGCATTACCACAATGCCTGACATATAGTAAGTTCTTAAAAAATCCATGTTGTTGTCCAAAATTTTTTATGCCAATAAAAGCAGAGATTTGTTCCAAAAACAAAGAGCAAAAACTACTGTTGAACTATGATGTATCATTTCCAATTAGGATATTTCCTTATTTGTAGTTAATTCAAAGGAATCTTGCTTTTCAGAATGAGAGAAGATACCCAGATGGCACTGAATATTAACCCCCCAAATCCAATTGCATCTCAAGTCTTAAGAAAATGCTCCTATTCTCCAGCTTGTTTTGTTTTCTTTTTTCTGAAAATAGATTGAGTCCTACATCTGAATGCTACGCCTCCAAATCCTACATCTGAATGCTATGAATCCTCACCACAAAAAACGAGAAATTCAATTTCATGATCAAGGTATTTCACAGTCTGGTGTTGTATTAGGGTTCAGGTCCAAAGGATGGCTAAAGGCAATCATTCTGAAGTCACTGAATTCATTCTTTTGGGCCTTACCACCCATCCAGAGCTGCAGGTTGTACTGTTTATCATATTTCTCATCATCTATTCTGTTAGTGGTGTGGGAAATCTTGGCCTGATTCTACTAATCCAGGTCAGTTCCCATCTTCACACACCCATGTACTTCTTCCTCAGCCACTTGGCCTTTGTGGATTTTTCTGTTACTTCTACCATTACCCCCAAAATGCTCATTAACTTTGTTCAGGAAACCAATGTTATTTCTTTCCATGCATGTGCCATCCAGGTGTATTGCTTCATTTCATTTGTAAATCTTGAGATGTTTCTCTTGGCTGTGATGGCCTATGATCGCTATGTAGCCATAGGTAAACCCCTACTCTACACTGTTGCATGTCGCACAGACTCTGTGTACAGTTGGTAGCTGTTCCTTATATATACTGCTTCTCCATGGCACTCTTTAACACCATCATCACATTTCATTATTCTTACTGTGCCTCAAATGTCGTTAACCACTTCTACTGTGATGACATTCCTCTCTTAGCCTTCTCCTGCTCAGACACTCATGTGAAAGAAATCTTGATATTTGCCTTTGCTGGATTTGACATAATCTCTTCCTTATTGATTGTCATCATCTCCTATGTCTTCATCATTGCCGCCATCTTGCAGATCCGCTCAACAGAGGGCAGACTCAAGGCCTTCTCCACCTGTGGTTCCCACATGGTGGCTGTCACCATTTTCTATGGCACAATGATCTTTATGTATTTGCAGCCACGCTCAAACCATTCCCTTGACACAGATAAAATGGCATCAGTGTTTTATACCATGGTGATCCCCATGTTGAACCCCCTCATTTACAGCCTGAGGAATAAGGAAGTAAAAGCAGCTATTAGGAAAGTGTTGGGAAATAGCTGGGCAGTTGTTCATCTAAGACATTTAGGCAAATGAATCAACTCATCCAGCAGCAGACAGTATCCCAATATCCTTAATGGCTGAGTTTACAAGGTACTTTTGTTTTCAGTCTTGCTATAAGCAAGATAATGTGAAATTAATTTCTGAACAAAAAAAGTATCACAATTGTTTCTATATGTTTTTGAAATAACCACTATCTTAAATCCATAGCAAAATGGTACTGTTTCTTAATTCTGCTAAGTTTACTATTGTCCACATTTTAAGACCACTGTGAAATGAATGTGTTTAAGAAGAAGCAAGGCAGCAGAGTGGATAGCATGCCAGGCCTGCACTCAGGAACACTCATCTTCCTGTGTTGAAACCTGGCCCCATACACTTACTTACTGTGTCACCCTGGGACAGTCACTTAACCCTGATTACCTCTGTTTCCTCATCTATGAATTGAGCTAGAGAAGTAAATGGCCAAGTAATCCCGTGTCTCTGCCAAGAAAATGCCAAATTAGGTCATAAAGATTAAAAAATGACTGGAAATTTATGAAACAATAACAAAACTGGTAATTTGATGGCTAAAGTAATGTACTCCTAGTCAGGAAGACATGATTGCAAATTCTGCCTCTAACACTTCCTATTTTTGCAACCCAGGGAAAATTATTTCTCTTCTCTCAGATTCAGTTTCCTCAGCTATAAAATAGCATCTACCTCACAAGGTTTTCGAAAAAAAAAATGAGAGAAAATGAGTAAATTGTTTTTCAAACCTTAAAGTTATATATAAATGCTAGATAATATTATTATTTAAGCTTGACTCAATCAATTAGATAGTTTCATTTGACATTATATTGATCTATACTTGTCCATCAGAGAAAACGTATACAGTTGGAGAAGGCTGTCATCCTGTGGAAACAGTGGAGTACAATGAAAAGAGTCCTCAACTGACAGTCTGCATTATGATTTGGCTTTGCCACTATTGACTTGTATGAACTTTGCTTATGGGAACCATAGAATTCAAATTAGGCATGGCCCATAAAATCATAGTGCCAAAGCTGGGAGAGACTATCTGACCCAAAGGCCTAGGGAAGGGCAAAGTGGTTGAGGAAAAAAAAAGAGAAGGTCAAAGTTTCATGCTAATTATCACTGAGTACAAGCTTAAGTGTGGATGCTGAATTTATAGAGGAGGCAAGCTATGGTGAAGGAAGGAAAAGAAGGAAGGAAGAAAAAGAAAGAGAAAAAGAGAAAAGAAAGAAGGAAGGAAGATAAGAAGGAAGGAAGAAGAAAAAAGAAAGGGGGAAAGAAAAATGAATGAAAGAAAAATAAAGAAAGAAGAAAAAAAGAAAACATAAATGAAAAATAAAGAGAAAGGAAGGAAGGAAGGAAGAAGGAAGGAAGGAAGGAAGGAAGGAAGGAAGGAAGGAAGGAAGGAAGGAAGGAAGGAAGAAGGGAATGAGGGAGGAAAGGAAGGAAGAAGGAATGGAAGAAGTGAGAAAGGTAGAAAGGGAACAAAAGAGAAAAGGAAGGAAAATTGGAAGAAAAGAGGCAGAAGGGAGAGAGGAAACAAGCATTTATTAAGCAGAACTATGTTCCAGAAACCATGCCAGGCTCTTCACAAATATTATATCATTTGGTCCTCAAAACTGTCTTCATTTCTTTTTCAATAAAAGGAATGGAGGCAATAGAGGTTAAATGCATCACCCAGGATCATATAACTAGTGAGTATCTAAGGCTAGATTTGAACTCTAGTCTTCCTGACTTCAGCCCTAGTGAGCTACATACTGTGTATCTATTTTTTTTTTAAGAGTTAGTGTGGGTGAAAATTTTATTGCCATGAACAAGCCTCTCTCAATATAGCTTTACTAATTCCAAGTGACATAATCTTCCATCAGGACTAAGCTTGAATGTTTTCCATCGGAGAAGAAGCTCCCAGACTGTGTGCATTGTTGCTGGAGCAACTAAGATTACAAGATCGCTTCCAGGCCCCTATGTTGCACTGGAATGTGGTTGGTACTCTTATTGTACATCAAAACAGTATAGTCATTTATAAAGACATTTTGTTGATATAAATGAGGCAGACAGTGGCACAGTGGAAAGAGCACAGGGTTTGGAGTTAGAGTAACCTGAGTTCACATTTGGCCTTATTAGCTTTTTGACCCTGGACAAATTATTTAACTTCTATTTGCTTTAGTTTCCGCAACTATAAAATGGGGATTAAAATATCATCCACCTTGTAGGATTGTTGTGAGGAACAAAATAGATAATATTTGCACAATCACTGAGGCCAGTACTGGGCACATGGAAGGACTTAATGCTTATTACTTTCCCTTCCTTTTCTGTATATGGGGCTTGATATTTTTCCAAAACTGTTTCCAATCCATTTTCTCTCAGAATCTTTAAGTTGAAAGGTTCTAATAAAGTTTATATTACATGAGGAATGCCTTCCATGATAACATAACCAGCCCAAACTGTTCAAAGACTCTATGTTCTGGGGAATTCACTACTTTCTATATAATGCATTCCTTTTTTGTTTTGTTTTGTTTTGTTTTTCAGTCAACAAGCATTAAGGGCTTAGTATGTATCAGGCACTGTGCTAAGTGTTGGAAAAAATTATAAAAGCAAAAGGAAAGAAAATCCCTACACTCAAAGAGCTTACATTCTATTGGGAAAAGACAATACATTAAATAGGAACTGAAAAGAAAGGGTAGGAGGAAAGAGAAGACATCATTTGTGGGATCGTGGTTCAAAAACCCAAAAATTCACAAAGAGAGGCCTGAGATAAATGAAGAAGTGAGCAAGGCTCGCAAAAGTGCTTCCTCAAAATAGGAGAAATCTTTAATCTAAGGAGGGAGTCATTATGGTGAAAGGATCTTCCAGGATGACTTGACCATAGATTGGCTATATGGAATGATTTAGAGTGAGGAGTCAAGGATGACAGGTGTGTGATCTGAGTAACCATACACTTCGACAAAATGGAAGATCCTTAGGAAATTCACAGAAGAAAAGGTCACCAGGTGGTTGTGGTCCTATAGTCTTCAGCATGCAATGGCAAAGCTGAGGGTGATGCATTTTATTTAATATCATTGCACTAATAAAAATTTTTCAGTTACCTGTGTTTAACCATTTGACAGTACCAAGGATTTTCGTGGAAAAAAAATATCTTTTCTGGCTCTTCCAAAGCTGCAAATGTAGCTTTCTAGCTATACCATGGGGTCAGGGTATTTGGCTGTCACCATCCAGATCCTAGGAGAGGTGGTAATGGAGGTAATGCTAATGGTCTGATTCATCTGGCATAAGCTGTTTCCTGTCTCTCCCTCAGAGTTCCTTGCTGTTGTATAATTGCTATACACAGAAGGACTTGAGTCCTGGTCTTGATGACTTCAATTGCCCTATGCCATCCACTATGCCTATATTCTAACAACTACAAGGTTAAACTCTTGATTCTTGACACTTCTCTCTTTAATGTACTGTGTGTTCCAGTCTAATTGGCTTTCTTCCTGTTTCTCATGGAAAATATTTCATCTTTTTTCCTCTATACTACTGTATAGGGTGTCTACCATGCTTGCCCAGACTTTGCTCCCTCTTCATTTTAAATTCAAATATTAATTAAACACTACCTGGCACATGAGAATGATCCTGTCCCCCTCTCTCACCATCACCCCTTTAGCTACAAGGGCCACTTCCCACAAATTTCCTTCTACTTACTTTGTATATATTTTGAATAGCAATATATTTTCCTGATAGAATGTAAGACATTATTAAACTTTGTCTTTGTATCCTAAAGTTCTAGCCACGCAACTGGAGCATAAATAAACCCTTAATATGAACTTGTTGCCTGATCATCTTTTCTAATTCACTAATTAAAACATATAAATAAGTGAGTTTCAATGATAGATACATTAATTATTACACCTTTGATAGTGATATCATTTAATCCTCAAAATAGTTCTGTGAACTAGACACACAAGAGGAATTGTCATATGGTAGAGGAACTGCAAAGAGATAGAAGCCTTCTGAAAGCCACAACTATTGTTGAAGATACAGAGGGAAGGTACAACACAGGCCTCTTGACTTCTAACCTAGTACTCTTTCCACAATACCATTTCTAACACATTGATCAGTTTGAGGACAAATGCAATTAGAAACCATTGAGAATGGGTTGGAGGCTTCTGTTCCTTGGTTATTTAAAGCTTACAAATGCAATTAAAAGACGATGTGTTCTTTCTTCCCTTGAGTACTATTATTATATTTTTAACCTTCATGGGGTTCCATGTTTAGTCCAAAATGGATATAAAAAGCAATAAATATGTCAGACTTTTCTGAATAATCTTGTGCAGAATCAGAATAATCTGACTTCTAGCAGACCGGTCAGATGGACTGGGTGAGTCTAGCTTGTATATCCCACCCTTATGGATTATTCTGTTATCACACTTGCATAGTATGTGAGTAGAATGGATATTTATTCTGGGCAAGATGAAATGACTACAAGAAAACAAAATTTAAAAAAGTAAAGTGCTCTTCAAGGTCTACAAATAAGAATGCCCTGAACACAGAGCAGTCATAAGAAAATGTACTAAAGCTGTAGCTGTGTCAGTCGAGAGAAGAAGACATATCCAAGAGATGTTGAGACGAAATAAATGCCAAGATTTAGCAACACATTAGACATGTGGGGTGAATGAGATTGAGGAGTCAAGGATTGGAATAAAGTTATGAGCATGTGTAACTGAAGAGGGTGGTGCTTTTCCTATCATACTGACATATGAAAGAGTTGTGATATGAGGAGAAAATTATTGAGTTCTGTTTTTCATATGTTTGAAATGATGTTTCTAGAACATCTAGTCTGACATATTCAACATGCAATTTGTGATATGAGAGTCACTGAGTATAGTGGTTAAAGCTGTACATATAGATGGGGGAGACAAATCTTTATAGAGATGTTACTTACATCTTACGGTATTTGATGGAGTTGCCAGATAAGTGCACATAGAGAAAATCAAAGTAATAAAATGACCATGGAAAGAGCATGTGGTAGACCACAGTCAATTTCTGGC